ATTTGGTCATCCCAGGCGGATTTTTGAAGCCAAATTTCTTGCATCAGAATTTTTGGTCGAGTGATAATCGGACAAAGTAAACCAAGAGGGTCGTATAACCTGGATATAAACGATAAAATCGAGCGCTTGGTGGGGGCAATGTCTACCGACATGTTCGACATCGAATATTTAAAAGCGTCTTCACGCGGGCTCCAAATGAGCCCCAACGTCTTCGTATCCTCCTGATGGCCGATCACCATTTCGTCAGAAGGCGACGCTTTAAATGATTCACAATTTGATGCCCATTTCGTTAAGGTGAAACCGAATGATTCGAGCACTGAAACTAGCTCATTCCGTAACATTCGCAATTCTTCCACTGTGTCTGCTCCAGATAGCAGATCATCTACATAGAAATCGCTAGCCAGCGACTTTGATGCCAATGGATGGGAAACCGCATGTAGCTCACTCAGGTACTTTAAGCAACGAATTGCCAAAAAAGGTGCCGAAGCAGTACCGTATGTTACCGTGTTTAAACGATACAATTGGAGTGGTTCAGTGGAGTTGCTTCTCCAAATAATAAGTTGGAAATTGCGATGCGATTCGTTGATTTCGACTTGTCGGTACATTTTTGCAATGTCTGCCGACAGGGCGAATGGATGCAGTCGAAATCGCAACAATGTTGAGTATAGACATGGCTGTATGGTTGGACCAACCATCAGGATGTCATTTAAAGACAATTGTGACGACGTCTTGCTAGACGCGTCGAAAACGACTCTCAACTTTGTTGATGTGCTTTGTGGCCTTAGCACGCATTGGTACGGTATAAAATAATGCGGCTCTCTCGGTACACTGTTCTCAATGGCACTCATATGGCCCAACGAAATGTACTCTTTCATAAAGGTAACGTACATCGACTGTGTATCAGGCTGCTTTGCCATTCTTCTTTCCAGAGCCAAAAACCGCCTTAAGGCTGTCTCATACGAATTTCCGAGACTTTTGGGACTGGATTTGAATGGCAACGAAACAGTCAGCCTGCCCGAGGGTAAGCGATTGACCGATTCGAGAAATGTTTTCTCGCAAAGCACTTGTTCTGGGGTGTACAAACTCTGATCGGACAAATTTGGAACTTCTTCCAACTCCCAGAATTTACGGATGAGACTATCTAGTTCCTGACATTCTGGATTTGACGAAGAGCTTTGATTTAAGCTCACGAGCGATGTTGACGGCAGCTCAGTTGACCCCGCAGAACGGCAACGGCCAGCTACAATCCAGCCAAGTGCCGTAAATTGCAAAGCCGGCGAGTCACTGGTACCCTTTATTTGCCCTGCTCGTAGCAAATAAAAAAATGCATCTGCCCCAAGTAGCAGATCTATGCGTTGCGGCCGATGGAATTGCGGATCTGCCAATTCACAACCGTTAGGCACGTCAACGTCTACTACCAGTTTTTCAGGCTGGTACGAAGAAATGTTATTTAACACTGCGAATTCTGCCGTCAGCTCAAATTTGTCAATTCGAGAAGCTATAGAAGTTTGAACGATATGACGTACTTCAGACTTTCGTTTGCCTATGCCTAATAAACAAATGTCTTTGCGCTCCCTCTTAAGCTTTAGGACTCTGGCCAAGTCCTCGGTCATAAAATTGACCTGCGAACCAGAGTCTAAAAGTGCCCTGGCTAATTGGTAGGAACCTGACTGGTCCATTACCTTAACAATTGCTGTTGCTAAGATTACTTGGTCAGTCACTGTCGTGGCGTGGTTTACCGCCGACGTTTGCGTTGGTACTGCCGATTGTGCTACCAACGTGTGACTAGAAGCCGCAGCTTGCGAAATGTTCGAACTATATTCGTACTTGTGCAAGAGCGTGTGATGCGGCTTCGAACAGACTCTGCAACAACCAGACTTGCAGGATTTAGTCGTATGACCCTTTCGCAAACAGTTTATGCACAACTGGACCCGTTTCACAAATTTAAAACGCTCATCTCTAGCGATCGCTGAAAATTGAGGACATACTTGTATGTAGTGGTCATTCGACTGACAAAACGGACACTTAGGGGTCAATGGCTGACTTGGCTGTGCTACTGCCAACGCCGTTTTACCATTCCTTTTTGACCCATCGGAACTTGGCTTCTTAGGCCGGCCAGACGATGCCTCCTCAGCAGACAGATGCTGGTAGCGTTTATTAAGAGTGGCCTCGCATTCTTCCCAAGATGGAAGTTGACTGTAGTCAAGGCCCTCTTCCCATTTGGATCGAGTGATGGAGTCAACTTTACTCATAACCAAATGTATGAGAATGACGTTCGCTATTTGCTTCTCATCACCCAATGACAACAGCGATTCATAAATTGCCCTTACATTATCTATTAGGGAACGCAAAGATGAAGCAGACGGCCCTTGCATTTTGGGCAAGTCGAACAGCTTGGACACGCTGTCGAAAACGATTAGGCAACTATTGTCATACACTCGTTTTAATGCTGCTAGCGCCTTTGGATAATTGGCATCAGTCACTTGATAAGCTTTGACTGTGCCAAGCGCTTCTTTGTCCAAACAAGAAAGCAAGTGATTAAATTTCTCTATGTTCGTCAGAGATGCGTCATGGTCAACCAAGTTTTCGAACAGACCAATGAAATTTTTGTACTCCGAATAATCGCCACTGAATTTTGGGAGTTTCATCGACGGCAGCTGCTTGCTATGGCAACCTGATCCAAACATTGTAGAGTTTGCCAGGCTATCCCTATGAGGCTTAGGCCGAACACCTTTACTCATGAGCAGCGTTTCTGTCGTGACGCACAAATTTTCTAAATCTGCTCTTGAGGCTAAGGCCGGATCGATTTGATCCAACTCTTCCTGCAGATTGAACGCTCTGTCAATATATCTGGTTAAAATTTTTAACCGGCACTCCATTTCAACAGACTCAATGGGCTTAGTGGCATTTTGCACGGAATCTTTAATGCGTTCTATATCTCTGACAACATTGTTGTGTGATTGCAATAATGCATCGAACTTGCTCGACTCCAAATCATCCGACAGCTTGCCGTAAGTTTGCTTGCTGCGTTTTGATGGCATGTTTGTAGCGAGTCTTTAAATGTTTGCACAAGACTAAAAGTGTATAAATGTATAATTGGACTATGTCCAGAAAAATATACACAATGTACAAAAATATACACAAATGTATACACTGTATACTATTGGCAAGAAAGCGCAGGCGCAAAGTTTTAACTTTGTATGATAAATAAATGTAATGTCTACAGTTGTGGCCAGCCCTGTACGCACATATAAACCTATGTATGTACGCAACTATGTTAACAGCAGCTGACAAATAACAGAGGCGAGAGACGCGCAGCTGTTAGAATTAATGTTGAACAAATGCACACTGCACGATAGCAGCGAACCCACGCAACAACAATATGTCCGTAAGGGAAACGAATGACGTCGACGCTAGCTGAGCGACGCACGTCGACGGCTGAACTTGCAAGCAACGCAAGCAGCGCAATTAGCAATTAGTCCAGCAACAACAATGCACAAGCAAGCGAAATTGTCTCTAGCTTGCAGTTGCTAGACCAGTGCGGCAATAACGAAGAGAGCGCAAAAGGCAGAATCCAAAATCAAACGGCACAGAAGAAAGGCGCGCTGAACTCTAACTTTGGCGCTTTCAAATTCTTGCGGTACGTTGGTATAATAAAGGTCCAAAGTACAGCAGCTATATGTACATATGTACAAGCACAAATGTATATACATAGGTATTTATATATGTGTGTATATATACATGTATGTATGTATGTATGTTGGCAACTTTGCATGTATGTATGACCAAATGAAAAATTATGCACTCACGTACCAACAAATGTATATTCAACTTTATTTATTTAAAAGTTTACTGCATGTATATGGTATATGGTAAAACAAATCGAATGCCAACATGTAAATTGCGGCCTAGTCATGCGAAAGCATTGAACGCATACAATCACATACATATGTGCCTTTATAGACAATTAACATATGGATGTACATATGTATGTGCCAATTCCAATCAGACAGATTTGGCCGCTATTTAATTTGCACTCGTTACCTGTGTATAACTTCCCTGTGGAATTGGGCACTGCATCGCCAACTACCGCAAATAGGAAAGTCCAAACCAAATCTCCAGATACACAACCAGATGGCAGGAATGACTCCAGACCCAATGTCCAGTGTCCAACAAGTCACCACGATGAGTCCACCCGGGGGCGCCAAAATGATCGCTCAGATCATGCAAAGTTGCCGGTAGGCAAAGTGAAGGGGTCCCTCGTCGCGACGATCAACTCAAAGATATATGTATATAAGTACACTTGTACTTATATGCACGAACGCACTGGCTTATGTTCACTGAAGAGCACCGAAACGAAAGAAAGTAAACTGCACAAATCGACTTCCAATTTTCAAGTGCTTTATTGCTAGCCATGCAAGGCTTAGCATACGCATAACATAATGTGGACATTAACTTAACAGCGACCAAGAGACTAACATAAACAGCTGTTATTACAAATTAACATTTATGACTTATATTTACGGCTTAAGTCTACAATTCAATGATAATTCAAACAACTTATATCTACAATTCAGATTATTTCAACAAACTTAAATCTATACTTAAGTATATAGGCATGAAATGCCCATACAGGTAGCATTTGAAATGTGGACGCTATTGACGAAATTCTGTAGCGGGGGAAGGGGGGGAAAACAAAAAAAAAAAAATAAACTCGTCCTTACTCAGACCTAGGAGAATCTGGATGCCAACTTTGGTTATTCTAGCTTTTATAGTTTCCGAGATCCTCGCGTTCATCCAGACGGACGGACAGACGGACGGACGGACAGACGGACGGACGGACATGTCTAGATCGATTTCTCTCGTCATGCTGATCAAGAATATATATACTTTATGGGGTCGGAGATGCTTCCTTCTGTATGTTACATACTTTGCACAAACCTAATATACCCTTTTTACCCTACGGGTACAGGGTATAATAAATTACAATTTTCTTTTTTTATATTTTATAAAATTCTTATATAGTTTTACTTATTTATAGAACGCACGACGTTCTTTGAAAGGTCGGACATACTTCCATCTGTTACTAGTTCGATTGAATCTTTATTTTCTTATACACCATAAATTTTGAATGGGCATTTCCTTTCGACACTATAAGACCTTCTTATCTGGACAATGAGCATATCTTACAGGAAGTAAGTTCGCCCCGATTGATAAACGTGCAATGGTTGCAGGTCCAAGTGTTGGCATCCAAGTCCATGGCATCGGCACCTGCGCCGCCACCGCTGGCCGCTGCACCACTGGGGTAGCTGGTGCTGCCACTGTAGATAAAACTTGTGTATAAACATGTTTATATTTTGATAGGTTGATTGCACAGAGACTCACCCGCTGCCACTGGAAATGGCCTGAATTAGCGACTCGAGCAGTTTCCAGACTTCTTCGCCCTTGAAATCGGCCGCCTTTATTGGATTCTTGTTGCGCATCGCCTCCAAGAGTGGCGCCATGTGCTGGCGCAGTGGAAACATGTCCATCTTGTGCAGGTAAACCAACAAATGAAAATCGGATTTTGACTCAAGGAACTCCTCCTCCCCCAAGGCTGAGAGGTAGTTGCTCAGCGCATTGAAGTCCTGCAGATGGCCGTCGATGTAGAGAGTAGAGAGACTTTTATAATAAAACACGAATTTTGGAGACTTTTGCATGATACAGGGACTGTCCCAGAAATAATTTGTGATATACCGCATATTTTGAGGACAAATTCAAATATCAGCATTCAGATCGAAAATAGAAGATAACGAATGTAACAGCTCCATAATGGATATCATCCAGATACATATGCCACCAAGAAGGTCACTATATATACGCTCTAAATAACGTTTTTATGCATGTTAAAATTTCATTTTTTATATGTAGGATATATTTTGGGGGCATATACATTGACTCCATTTTATACCTGAAAAGTTATAGTATCTTTCTTCTTTTTCGGCCAGTTCTAATGGAATGAATGTATGTTGTATATTGGCTACAAATTAATGGGGTTTAGATGCAATAAATGCATTGTTTTAATGGTCAAAGTTACCATATTTGTATAAGGTGACTACCCTGAACGGGGAACACAGGAATGGAACATATATATAGAGCTATTTTTCAGGGCTTCGGGACACATTTTTACCAGGGATGTGAAACACTATAATGAACAGCATAATATATATAAAAAACTTGCTAGTATTATTTATACCTGCCAACAAGCTATGTAAATGCAATTCAGTTGTATTAAATTTGCTGTATATAATTTTATTATTTGACTTATGGCCTACTATATTTCTATTGGTGATATTTTACGTCGTCAGCACAAATTACAAATTTGTTTTAAATATCCAATTTAATGTGGAGGAACCAATGTAGTTATACGAAATTGTGAACTTGTGCATGCATGTTTATGAATTAATTCAATATATTAGTATATTAGGATTTAGGGAGGTGAAAAATATAAAAGACAGAAGAAGGCGTGACAGACTCCAAAAAGTATATATATTCTTGATCAGGATGACAAGACGAATCATCTGTCCGTCTGTATGAGCGCAAAGATCACAGAAAGTATAAGAGTTAGAACAACCAAACTTGGTATCCAGATTGTTCTCAGTCCGAGAAAGTACGAGTTTAAGAAAGCACGGGCAGCGATTTTATTTATGGCTATAACTTTCTTCAGAATTAACCAATCATGATGAAACTTAACATACGGGCACATAATCACTAATTGGATGTAATAACCAAATTTGAGTTCAGAATTCCAAAAATTACAGGAGTTATGAAAAAAACACGATTTGTGGGGGAGTGGGAGGTGCATCAAAAAAAAACTTAAACCCGAACTTTCTCGGACTTAGGAGAGTCTGAGTACCAAGTTTGGTTGTTCTAGCTCTTATACTTTCTGAGATCTTTGCGTTCATACAGAAGCATGGACAGACGGACGGACATGGCTATATCGACCCGGCTTGTCATCCATCTTTGTCCAAAATTTGGTGTCTCTAGCTCTTATAGTCTCTGAGATCCAGGTGTTCATACGGAGCGACAGACGGACAGACAGACAGATATAGATCGACTCGTCTTGCCATGCTGATCAAGAATATATATGCTTTGTGGTGTCTGCCACGCCTCCTTTTGCCTCTTACATTTTTCAGCTCCCGCAAACCTATAAAAACAAAAAATACTCCATATTTTTATGTCACAGCTTATTTCTTCAAAGGCAAGAATATGTACTGTATAAAATAAGCTGTGAGCCATTGTATGTGTATAGTGGACAATCGAACACTGTTGTGTAATTTGTAATGGTGTTCTATAGTTTTAAATGATAAATCAAATTTTTAAAACAGCTGCAAGTCATTGGATCGGTCTTATTGTTCTTCTTTCATTCATTTTATTTAATCATTTACTTCCTTTTATACCCTGTACCCGTAGGGTAAAATGGTATATTAGGTTTGTGCAAAGTATGTCCGTCCGTCCGTCTGGATGAACGCAAGGATCTCAGAAAGCTGGAACAACCAAAGTTGGTATCCAGATTCTCCTAGGTCCGAGAAAGGACCAATTTTTTTATTTTTTTTTATTTTTAATTTTCCATCCCTTTCTACGCTACAGAATTTCGTCAATAGCGTCCACATTTCAAATGCTACCTAAACCAAACTTTGCACACATAATTTATAAATAATTATCTACTGTTGTTCAAAATTTTATTCAATTTGGTCAGTAGTTTTTTGAAGTGGTAGGCTGACAGGTGAATCGAAAGAGTTAATAATATTTTTGTTGAGTTTTGTTAGCTCGAACTGTGTACGGAATTCTAGCGGCATAGTACTTGATTCAAAAAGCAGGTTGTTTATAGGGGTGCTTCGAAAAGCGCCGACAGACATTCTTAGGGCGGAATGGTAAATGGTCTTAATTTTGTTGGTTTGCGCATTTGGGGCATTGCCGTATAGGTAAAGACCGTAATCAATTTTGGACATTATTATTGCTTTGGTAACTGAGATGAGTGTGGACTGATTGCAACAGAATTTGTTGCTGGCGAGGCATTTGAAAATGTTGAGTTTATTAGACAATGACCGGAGGAGGTATTCTATGTGGTCGATCCAGCTGTATCGGTTGTTAAAGACTATGCCTAGGATTCGTAGCGAGTTGACATTTTCAATTGGTGATAGGGCGGATGAAATGTTTATTTGACAGTGGTGTTTTTTGCATGAATATGTGAATATTAATATGTTTGCATTTATTTATGGATAATTTGGATCCAGAGTAGTCGCACCAGGTGAGTATGTCATGGAGGAGAGGGTCTATATCGAGGGTTGTTTGTTTTCTTAATGTTTTGATAATATGCACAGAAATTGAATTGTTTGTGGATGGCTATTGTTTTGTTGAGTTTATTGAAAGCTATGAGGAAAAGGATAACTGATAGGGGGGGATACCATTTGATAGGGGGCGGGTAGTAGATGTATAGTTGTCTAAGCTGACCAATATTTTTCGGTTAGTCATGAAGTTTATGATGTATCTGATTATTTTTGGGCCTATTTTCCATTGTATAAGCTCATCAACTATTGTGTGGAGTCCTATTTTGTCAAAGGCTTTAGCGAAATCTAGGGATACTATAGAACAGTGGTGTTTGGTGCTAAGGGAAGATGTGATCCAGTAGTCTAGTGCAACTAGAGAATGGGATAGTGATTTTCCTTTACGGAAGCTTGATTGCCGGCTATCGATTGGTTTGTTACGTGCAACAAACCACCATAGTCGGTTTGCAATAATCTTGTCTAACAGCCTGGAGATACATGAATTAAGGGAAATTGGACGGTATGAAGCTATGGAAGTTTTATTTGTGTTTGGTTTATTGATAGGAATAATCTTACTCAGTTTGAAGTTTTGTGGAATCGATGACGAAAAGATAGAGTTAAAGAGGTTAAGAAGTCTTTGCTTTACTGATGGATGTAAGTTCTTTAGCATTGGGTATGAGATTCGGTCAAGACCTGGTGTTTTGCCGTTGAGCTTAGCTAATGCGATGTGCAATTCGATTAGAAGGATAGGTTTTTCAAGGATGTTTGAGGAATGGCTGGTATTATTGTATATGTTGCTTGATGATATCTTGGATTTGTGGTCTCGGAATGAGGTAGAGAAATTACTATCATCAGATTCTGTTGACCAGTGTCGGCACAGTACCTCCGCGATGTCTTGTTTGCAAGTTATTGGGGACAATGTGGATGGGCTGATTATACAGTGAATGGTATGTCTTGGTCTGGTGCCGCAGAAAGTTCTAATGTTAGACCATACTCTGGAAGTGGGAGTTGAAGGATTTATTTCGGCTGTGAATTTTTTTAGAGCTGCCCATTTTGCTAACTTAAGCTCTCTTTTAAATAGTGCGTTTGATCTTTTGTAATTCAATATATTGGGTGTTGTAATGTTGTGTTTTAGTAAGGACCAATGTTGGGTTTTGGTGTCTTTGTATTGTTGTAATTTATCGTTCCACCAAGGCACTTTTAATTAGCGATTATGTAGGGGTAGGGTTTGGGGTATTGAAATGTTGGCTGTCTGTCTAATGATTTTGGTTATATTAGCAGTTTCCTTATTGATATTATGACTGGGGGATTTGTTTATAGAAAATTGCTCGGATGCGCTGGTAAATTTTGGCCAATTGGCATGCTCTAATCTAAATCTTGGAGTACTAGTCGCAGTTTTTGACTGTGAGTGGAATAGAGTTATAGTAATGGGAAAATGATCGCTACCGTAGGTATTACGTTCAATGGTCCATGTTGATTCGAGTGCTATTGATGGGGTGGCAATTGATAGATCGATGTTAGTAAGACTATTGTGAGTGCTATAATGTGGGGGCGAACCGTCATTTAAAATTACTAGGGGGGATTGGGTGATGAATTTTGATATATGGTGTCCTCTGCAGTTCGGTTTTATGGAACCCCAAGTTTGGTGCCAACCATTGAAATCGCCTGTGATGAGAGTATGTTGATTTAAGTTGCCGAAATAGTCATGAAGGTTCTGAGTTGATGTGGCAGGTTTGGTGGAATATATGTAGAAAAAATGTGGAAATTTTGCTTGGATTGTATTGAAACTGCTACTGTTTGAATATTGCTACTGTGGTTACCTGGAGTAAGTATATTGTGTTGGAGAGAATTATGAATTAATAAAGCTACCCCGCCGTGGGAGTGATGGGAGTTATTGTTGTGGAATAGAGTGTAGTTGATTGGGATGGGAATAGCGTTGGTGTTGTGTATGTGTGTTTCCTGACGGGAGATTATTTTTGGAAGCTTTTCTTTAATTAACATTTGTAGCTGATTATAATTGTTAATATAGCCGTTGATATTCCATTGCACTATCTTGATCATTAAACTAAAGAGATCTGTTTCGAATTTTTTGATTTTTTTTGTTAAAATTAAAGCTAAGAGATCTGGTCGATACCTTTTTTTCTTATTATTAACACATTGCTATGTGTTCATCAGACTATTAATAATATTTAAGCCATTAGTTGATGTTTGAGGCTTATCTTTAAGAACATTGTTCAATTTTGCCTTTTTTGAATTTACTTAAATTGTGTTTTTATACTCTGTACATGAAATGTACAGAAGTATATTAGGTTTGCGGGAGCTGAAAAATGTAACAGGCAGAAGGAGGCGTGGCAGACCCCACAAAGTATATATATTCTTGATCAGCATGACGAGACGAGTCGATCTAGCCCTGTCTGTCTGTCTGTCTGTCCGTCTGTCTGTCTGTCTGTCTGTCCGACTGTCCGTCCTTATGAACACCTGGATCTCAGAGACTATAAGAGATAGAGACACCAAATTTTGCACAAAGATGCCTTATGTGTGTATTCTATACGAGTTTGTTTTATTTTTTTGATTTTCCCCCCCCACTTCCCCCCTATGGGGGTTTTCCCGATTTTCCATTCGTATAATCGCCTATATCTCGGAGAGTATAAGACCTAGGAACACCAAATTTTAGTCCCAGATGCCTTATGTGAATACGCAGAAAAT